GAGCACCTGTTACATAGCAGGAGCACATGTGGGCATCTGGGATACAGCAGTGGATGGAAATAGCCATGCTCCATTCAGAGATGTTCCAAAAGGAGACATGGGGCATTTTCATAGTGTTATCAGAAGTGGGGGAAAGCCAGGCAGGGCTGAGGCTGTTAGGAGCAAGAGAGGCCTGGGTGGAAAGGACTGCATACACAGTGAGTGGGGTTGGAGTTCCCCTCAGCTTGCCCCATTGGTTTGGGGCAAGCAGATCTGAGGGTTCCCAGCAGCAGGCATGAAAGGTACCTAGACCACCCAGAATGGCCCTTCCCACCTGCTTCTATCCACCATACAGGTGGTAAACCCAAGTTCTCCCCCAACACTTACTGCAAATCACAGCTACCCAAGGAAAGTAGCCTGTGGGCAAGAGGCACTTTTGTCAAATAATCTAAACCCTATTCTACCAGGTAGGCCTAGCCCAACACTGGCATACCTGCCCCTCTTATCCTGGGGCAAGTACACTGCCTTGAGCCTTGGGACTTTGGTATGCAGTGAAAGGCACTTGAAGCTGCCCGAGGTGGGGTCGCCAGGGGTCGTGGTGACGGCATGAGGACAGCTACCTCTCTGGCAGTCAGCAGTCTAACTCAGTAGTACTTTGTAGTGGGGTAGGACACAGTGCACTGCCGGCGGCCTGGCTGGCACCATGGTCAGTAGTGCTCCAGCTTGAGGCTTCTGTATAAGCAGCAGGTGAAGATCATGCCGAAGACCTGCATAGGGCCAGGCTGGTGTAAACAGAGCTGTGGGCCACCAGCCACCCCAGTGTTCCCACCTAGTCACCTCCATGTTTCCGCACCTGCACACAGGCAATGCCGATGCCCACAGCCCCGATGACCCGCAGGTGCTCCTGAATGAAGGTCTCCAGCTTACTGATACAGCCACCCTAGTGGGGAGAGAGTGGTGGTGGACCTTGCTGGCTCCCGCATGCAGCCCTATCGGACCAGGCTGCCCTGAGATGTAGCCAGACCAGCCACCCAGTCAGTCTAGCCCCTTGCTCAGCACCCACCTACCTCCACTTTATAGATGTTGGAGGCATGGTCCCGCCTACCACAGCCAGATACCATAGTCTTACAGCAGCTGTCCGGAACCACACGGTCGCCTGCCTCACCAGAGCGGATCCATTCACTGTCTCGCCAGTCTTGAGAGTTGTTGCTGCCACAGCAGTGGAACTACAAGGGGTATGCGGTGAGCTCTCCAGCCTGCCAGCACATAGCCCCACGCTAGGCAAGTGGAGAGTCACAGGGGGACACCCACCTCTTGCTGTAGCTTATCTACAGCATTCGTCACACCATCTTGACCTGACTGCTGGTATTTCTTGGTCATGGTGTCCTTGAGATTTTCCTTGAGCTCTGTGTTCAGCTGTGGGTAGGATCAAAGTCTAAGACCCCCAAGGGCAAAGCTAGAGTCAGGACCCCCAGTGGGACTGGCAAGACTAGAGTCACCAAGCAGGCAAGCGAATGAGTAACACTCTCAACCCTAGGCATACCTGCCTCCCCATAAGTCCAAAGTCAGCCCTGGGATCACCTGCCTGTGAGCACACCTGTTCTGGACATAACCCATGTACAGTTCAGGCCCTTACCTGCTGGTAGTAGACATAGGCCAGGATGCCAGCAATGACCTCCAGGAGGAAGATGATGAGGAGCAAGATGAAGTACTAGGAAGCAGGGACCCAGTGAGTTGAGGTTCCTAGTGCCAGAGCACCACAAAGCAAGTCCCCAACCCAAGAGGCCAATAGGAGGAATCCAATTAGCAGCTACAGGCTGGGGCCACCCAGCTCCCGATACTTCTCTGATCTAGTTATGCCCTCAGCTGGGGGATGCCCCAGAGAGTTCAACAGGGACAGCCTGCAGTAACATACTTAACCAGAGTCAAGCCCCAGAAGCCCCTGAGAAAGCCATGCCAGGCATCCCCAGCCCCATGCTCCCACATGTGCTACCAGGCCCTGCTGACCAATCGTAACAGGTTCCGTCGCTCCTTGAAAGTGGCACAGCAGCCCAGCACTCCGGTCACCATGACAACACCACCAGCCACCACTAAGATATAGGCTGTGGCTAGGTAGGTGTTTGAAGCCAGCAGACTAATGTAGTCACTCTTGAGTGCCAGTGTCCAAATGCCCACTGCCATGACGGCCAAGCCAGCCAGCTGCAGGAAGTATGTACTGGTCACCACATCTGGCCTGGGTCTGGAAGCTAGGACCAAGCCCCCAGGCCAGGCCTCCCAGATGAGGAAGGAGAGGAGTGTAGGGAGAATCACTTCTCACCCAGAAGCAGCAGTTGTAGGTGAACAGCAGGTACTTGAGGCAGACCGTGCCACATGTTGCCTTCTTCTCATTGAATTCACCCATGCTGGGCCTGCAGAAATGTGGAGGAGGTCAGATGGCCTGAAGCACAAGGCCGCCAACTAGAAAGACACAGGAGGGGATGCAGCAATCCCTAGATACTTCCAGAGCCTGGAGCGCAGCCAGCTCTCTGCCTTAAGAGGAGCCTTCCCAGGAACCATATATGAGTCACTTCCTGGACAACTGATCAGTCTAACACCCCTCCTTGAAGCCAGACACCCATAATGAATTGTCATGGAGACCCCCAACCATCTGCTGACTCACTCCTGCTGGCAAATGGGGGGCAGATCTTCAGGATGTAGTCCCCCACGGCATTCCCTGACCCCACATCACAGGCTGACGGTTTTAACACTAACACCCCAGATGCGGCAGAGAAGCAGAAAGTTCAGACAGACCTCAGGTAGACAGGGCTCTGTGAGCAACCTCTCTACTCTCAACCAGGGCAGGGACAATAGAGGTGCCAGTAGGTGGAGCCTACACAATCAGCTCCCCTCCAGGCTGATGGAGGAGGCCCTCAGTTCCACAGATTTGATTATGTCATTCCCCCAAAGGTACATTCTGCCCTAGACACACTAGTGTCTGCAATGTGGACAGTCTGCGGCACAGACCTCAGCTGAACACCCCAGGACCAGTTTCTAGACAAGCAAGTGTGCAGGACTTCTCACCTGCCACCTGCGGGCTCTGCCCAAGCACCAGCACTCACCCCTATAAGTCAGAAGGACCAGCAGGTACAGGTCAAAAGTCAGTGGTCTGCGCTTCTTCGCCTGGCAGGTAGGATCTTGCCACTCCTCCTGTGGTGGCTGAAGCAGTGGTCAGAATGATTCCCAGAGCCACCAGATCTGGAAGCAGGCATAACAGTCAGGTCTATTTTCTTCTGGACCAGGGTGGGGCAGAGGACATTGCTGGCCAGCTTGATCTAGGGAGGAACCAAATGCCTTCTCCAGGTGCCCCACCCTCCAGACCCATCCATCACTGTCCCTCCCCCACCAAACAGCATGGACTGCAGACTGGCGCGGGGGAGGGGGAGGCGGGACAATCAACTGTCCACTCCTGGAGATTACAGACTTCCATTTGGAAATAAGACTCAAATACACGCTGCTTCACTGAAGGAGTGGCATGACACAAACTGAGGCCAGCTCTAAAAGCCCAGAACCTATGCGGTGCTGCTTCTGAACACATCCAGCCAAGGCACAATCAGCAGACTGAATGTTAATTTCCTGAGAAATGGCCGGCGTAGGAGTCGCAATCAGCCAGAAATAGCTCCTGCGGCCTGGAGGCCGCCCTACACTCAGCCCCTGAGTCCTGTGCCCTCGATGGCGCTCGGCATCCGCCCCACCGAGGGGACTGGGCACTGAAGGCAGCTAGACGAGGAATCCCCGCGTCACCGAGATGAAGTCACCACCGCCCCTGCCCGTCTCCCCATTCCCCCGCTGCCGATGGGCGGACCTGCGGTCTCAGGGGAGGGAACCGGTGTCCAGTGACAATGAACAGGGTGATCAGACTTTGACTTTCTTGGTTTCTGCATGAAAGGGACTTCCAGGCCTGTCCAAGAACCTCGGAGGCTCTCTCCCTCCCCCCCCCTCTGTTTCTTCCCGCCCCGGCGTCGATCTTCCGGAAAGGAGCCTGCAGCCCTGTCCTACCGGCGCTGCCTCCTGGGTGTCCCCGAGGCCAGTGGTGAGGACTAGGGACACCGGGGCGCCAGTCACTGAGTACACTGCTCCCCACACCCTGCGGCCTTGCTCTGCGGAGCACTTACCAACCACACTTTGTAGTACCAACGCCGGCGGGCGGCTGTAGGAGTGCTCCGAGTGCAGAAAATGCTCGGCCCGGGGCCTTCAAGGACACGCCCCGCGCGCGACCCCGCCCCAGGCGCAGCCCCGCCCACGGCCGGCCTGGGCTGGGCAAGTCCCAACTGGTTTGGTGCTAGGGCTCGAGGAAGACCGCGCAGTAAGACCTGGGGCACCTTTCCAGTCTATGGGGCCAGAAAGTTAACTTGAGGGCGCCGGTGATCAGTAAGACCCCTACTCACCCAAAGACCGAGGAGCTTGGATGGAGGCAGAACCCAGGTGGTGAGTGGAGAGGTGGGGAAGATAGCACTTAACCCAGCAGAGCCCAGAACTGAGGCCCAGACCAAATCCTCCTCCAGTCTAAGCCCGGGGAACTACTCTGAGGCTGCAGGTTCTAGCGGCTGCGGACATGCCAGAGGGGTAGCTCCAGGTACAGTGTGAAGAGTGCTGAGACCCACCATCACATGAGGGCCCTGCAAGAGGTACCCAGTCTGGAGGGCACACGGTCTGTCTAGGAATGGTGCCAGACGATGGAGAGTAAGGACGGGGACCAGAGAGCTAGCTGACCACAGAAGTGAGGGCAGGACTCCCTTTCCACATGAGGACTAGCGTGGGAGTGGAGTGGACCCTTGTTGAAACCCGAGTCCTGTGATGGACCGCAAAGCAGAGCTTGATGAGTGACCAGGATCACAGAACATACAAAAACACACAGGAAGCCACAGCCACAGAAATGACAGGCTAGTGTGTGCCTGTGAATCTCTCCATGTCACCTTGCGCTGTGGACACCAAGCATGAACCACAAATGCACTGTGGCTCTGAGACACAAAAAGAAAGGAGTACACAGTGGCCAGTGGCCTTTATTGGTCAGCTAAACAGAGACGAAGACAGCGTGGAAACTGAAGACTTTGACCATTCAGAGCTCAGTTCCTCCAGGCAGGTGATGCTTTCTGGCTAGAGCCACATACCTATCAGGCAACTGCCACCCACAACCAGTCCCCTTCTAGATAAGGAAGGTCTGGTGAGTGTTTTGGGGCTGGTCATCGGGCACTGGGAAGATGGCCAGAGCCTCGTCTCGGGGGCCGAGCCCAGCCACAGCAGCAGCAGCAGTAGGTGGGTCCAGGCTTGTGGGCAATAGCTAGAGCCTTCCTGTGGCTACTGCCCAGCAGCTTAGTCTCACAGGCATCCCTCTCGTCTCGAAGTCGCAGATTCAGTTCCCTAGAGAGGAAGAGTTTGAGACTGTGGAGGCTAATTAAGATCTAGAGGAGCCGGGCATTGGTGGTGCACGCCTTTAATCCCAGCACTCGGGAGGCAGAGGCAGGCGGATCTCTGTGAGTTCGAGGCCAGCCTGGTCTATAGAGCAAGTTCCAGGACAGCCTCCAAAGCCACAGAGAAACCCTGTCTCGAAAAACAAAAAAAAACAAAAAAACAAAAACAAAAAAAAAATCTAGAGGAGCCGGGCATTGGTGGTGCACGCCTTTAATCCCAGCACTCGGGAGGCAGAGGCAGGTGGATCTCTGTGAGTTCGAGGCCAGCCTGGTCTACAAAGTGAGTTCCAGGACAGCCTCCAAAGCTACAGAGAAACCCTGTCTCGAAAAAAACAAAAAACAAACAAACAAACAAAAAAGATCTAGAGGAAGCAGTGGATGGGGAAGATGGTCCAGCTCTCCTGAGTCCTGAGGACAACAGAGAGTGCAGCATGAAGGCTCTAGGGCAGACATAAGGACTTCCAGCAAGATGGGTGAGAGCCAAGACTATTCAGAAACTTGAAACCACTTCTCCAAACAGCCTAGGTAGGCCTGACCCACCTCAGCAGCTCCAGCTGCCTTAGGAGGCTGAGTTTCTCCTTCTGCATGTTCCTGGAGACAGCAACCACATCTCTGTAGGTAGAAGGTGGTGATCCAGATGCAAGGTGGGAGAAGGGACCCTCTCCCCTGTCCACAGGCACCTCACCACACCTTTGGGTTTGCTCCTGACGACCCTGTGCTTCGCCCTCCAATCGGCTGAGCTGCTCTAGCGCCTGGTCCAGCTGTGCCCTTAGCACCTCGTAGGCCCTACGCAGCTGGGTGTGCTGGGCCTGTGTCTCTAGTTGTTCTGCAGTCCTGACCTGCAGCTGCTGCTCCAGCTGAGGAATGGTGGGATGCTGGCTGGCGAGCCACGCTCCCCGCCCGCCCCCCAGTGCCAAGGTGACCCCCTTATTCCTGCAGCTCGAGGGCTCCGAGGCACGGGGAGCCCCCAAAGAAGGTGAGTCTGCGAGGATGCGGAGGTAAAGTGACTACGGTTTACCTCCCGCTGCCGCAGGCCTGCGCGCTCCAGCTCCTGCTCGCGGGTCTGCAGCTCCAGCTCCAGGTGGCCCCTCTGTTCCTCCCGGGACAGTTTCTGGGATGTACAGCCGCACTAGTTCCAGGCTCAGAGGAGGCAGGCGGAGAGGCAAGGGTGGGGAGCAAAGGGGTGGAGCGCGGGAGGGGGCACTTGCGGAGGCAGAGCAGAGTTCCCTGGACTTAGGGCAGCTTGGACTCCCGAGGTGAGTCCTCTAGGGCGGGACCAGTTCGGGGAAGGCGGAGCCAGAGAAGCCAGCGTGGCTGGGCGTGGCATACGCGGGCCCACCTGGCTCTGGCCGCGGTGTCGCTGCTCCCACATCTGCTGCTCCAGCTCTTCGTAGAGTCCGCGCACCTCCCTCTCGTGCTCACTCTCCCGCCTTCGAGGAACCGGGATATCACAAGCATGAGCATTTGCCAGTTTTCTCTGTCCCCTCGTGAGACCCCAGACCTCGCCAGGCCGTTCCTCACCGCCGCAGTGCCTGCTCCAAACCGTCGCGTTCCCGGGCTGCAGCCTCCAGGCAGGCCGACGCGCGCATCAAAACTTCCTCCAGAGAGCCCAACAGCTCGGGTCGCTCGCGCTGCAGCCGAACCCAGAGTGTCCTCACAGCCCATTGCCTAGAGGGTGTGAATAGAGACGAGCTGGCCGGTGCTGGGGGCGTGTCCCCTTTGCAAAGGTGAACCCGTAAGAGAACCCAGCGGCCCAGAACATCCGCGGCGCACTCTATGGAATGTGCTCTCATGCCTGCTTAGCCTCTATGAGTGCAAAGTGGCCTTGCACGAGTGACTAGGTGTCTTGTGGCACCCCGCCCCACAGAGCTATGACCTCCTGAAATGCAAATCCTGAGGAAAATCACGCCAGGGCGCTCTCCCAGACAACCACAAGTGACAAAGGATGGATTGGCCCGGCCTAGGGATTCTGTGGCAGCAGCCAGGAGGGCAAGGTGGACAGAACACACAGAGGAGAGGGATCAGGCGCACAAAGGGAGTGGGCTTAGCATCAACTCACTCGCCCAGGACCCGGGCCACTCCCAGCTTCTCTAAGGAAGTGCAGAATGTCTCAGCATCGTCGTCCTCCTCCAGAGAGCCTCCTGTGCTTGACTCAAAGGTTTCCTCAGGAGTCCTCAAGGAGGACCCACCTTGGGCCGACTCCACCCCCACAAACTTTCCTGCAGACATGGGAGGAGAGATGACCAGGACTGTGGGTTAACACCCCAGGCCTACCCAACTCCCCTGACCACACACAGCATATCCTGCCCTCTCTCAGGGCCCAGTTTCCTGTTTTTCTTCCTTGTTCTGGTTCCATTGGCCTGGGAATGGAAATGACAGCCAGCTCCCCCGCCCCACCTGGGTTGGCAGAGGAGAAGGGATTGGGGGAGGGCAGACCGTGCACACTGCACAGAGGGGGGGGGGATGGGGGGTGCAGCTCACAGAGTGACTGCTTGTAGACACCAAATGCCTGGGTAGTTGCGAAAGGCACAGGCTATGTAGTCTCACAGGGGCCTGAATAGGGTCTCCAGGTGGCTGGGACCTGCTCACCCAGGCCTAGACAGAACTCCCGGGCTGTGAGGAAGCCAGTGTGGGCCTGGTCCAGACTTTCGAACACAGCCTCCAGCTGCTCAGGAGTTAGGGGAAGGTCACTCTGCAGGCCCTAGCCAGGCAAGGAAGATCAAGGTGAGCAGCCAGGGTCGGCCTTGGGCCTGGCAGCCTCTTGGAACTGTGGCTCACCTGCAAGTCCTGCCTAGTGATGAAGCCCTTAGCATCCTTGTCACACAGTAGAAAGAGCTCCTGGGCCTGCTGCAGCACCTCGGCACCATGTCCTGCCGAGATTCCCTTTGTCTCCTCTTCCTCCTGGCCCTCCCCAGGCCCAGGCTGCCCAGGGCTGGCCATAGGAGCAATTCTTGGTTCTAGTAGGTACTGAGAAGCCAAGGGAAGGTCAGAAGAAAGGGGAGGAAGGATGAAGGTGTGTCAGAGGGTGAAGACAGAGGGCTTGGGGCCTCCTTGCACCAAGTAGGAAAGTGAACAGAAGGCAAGGCATTGGGACAGGGATGGTCCGTGGCCACTGGGATGGGATGAGGCAGACTCAGGAAGTAGAAATTCTGGGGAAAGCCTGAATCCCTGGATGGAGCCAGTTGGAGAAGTGAGGGTTAGCTGAATATGGTGGCTTATACTTTTTTTTTTTTTTTTTTTTTTTGGAGACAGGGTTTCTGTGTAACAGTCCTGGCTGTCCTGAAGTGGCATACACTTTTCATCCCAGCACTCTGGAGGCAAAGTTAGGCAGATATCTGTTCCAAGACATGTAAAGCTACATAGTGAGATCGTACCTCAAAAAAAAAAAAAAGAAAGAATGAAAGATAAAAGAAAAAGAGAAAATGAAACCAGATATAGTGGGGCAAGCCTTAACCCCAGCACTCGGGAGGGAGAGACAGGCAGATCTCTTGAGTTCAAGGCCAGCATAGTCTATAGAGTGAGTTCCAGAACAGCTGTTACACAAAGAACCCCTTTCTCTAAAAAACAAGAAGAAGAGGAAGAAAGTGAGAGTGTGACTTTACCACCACAGAAGACTTGTAAAAACAGGTGACCAACTCTTGGCAGCCAAGAGAGAGATTTTGTAGTGAAAGAGGGCCAGAGTGTGAAGAGTCTGCCACATCCTGGACTTGGGAGATCTTGCTTAAGGAAGAGGGCTGAATCACTTCTGACCAAGTCCCTAGCCTCGGGACTGAGCCTGTGATACCCTGGCCCTCTGACAGCTGGCAAGCAGAGAGTAAACTCCATCAGTCCCTCCCACCTTCCAATAAGGCCTTAAGGGTGCAGGTGCAAGGCCCCAGCCCTGGGCACTGGACAGCTTCTGTAGGAAACACCCCCACATCTTGGTTTAATACAGCCTCTAGTCGTTTTCTCTTCCCCTGGAGCCTCCCTCTCACCTCCTGGAATGAACACCCCACCTCTAATCAGAGTCCCCTGTCTGCCCCACAGTGTACTAACCCCTGATTTCCCAAAGCCACACAGTGACACCAACCCAGACTATCTCACAGTCCTTAGGGTTATCTTCCCCCTACCCATATTTGAGGAGGAGAGGGACGATAATCCAATAAGCAAACACGAGGAAGCAGCATGACAGGGCAACCTGGAGTCATTGCCCCCTTGACGGCTACCCTCACTTCAACCAGGCACAGTCACCAACCGCCCCCGGGCTCTACAGGACGGGAGGTCCATCCGAGCCGGAAACTGAACTGCAGCCAGGCTCCAGGGAGTCCAGAGGAAGGGCAGCGGGTGGACCCACAGGCAAACCTCATCCACACACGTCTAAGGCTAGCTGCGCTGCACCGCGGAATCACAGCCGTCCCAGATTGACGTGTGCGGGTCGCCGCTCCACACAGCGGTCCGAAGGTGCGACCACCCGGACCCGGGGTTAGGGGTAGGGAAGTCCGGCAGGTGCAGCTCTGGGACCCCAGCCGCGGGACCTAGGAGCCTATGCCTACCTGGGAGCCGCGTCGCCGCACCTGCCGCAGACCGGCCGCTCCTCCCGGAAACGCGCGGCGTGCCCCACCCCTGCCCGGACCCTGACAGCCTGCGAGGGGCGCCGGCCCACAGCGACCTTGCGGCCTGTAAGGCTGGGAGACCCCGGGATAGCACGTCCGGGTGGATCCACCAGAGGGCTGTTGTTGCTTTGTCCCGCCTCTCTTATCTTGGCGACTCGACCCAGGGTGGCTAGCTCTCCCGGGAGAGCCACAGGGGGCAGCAATGTTGACGTCGTGTCCCTCACCGCCCCCCCCAAGACCCTTCCAGGACAGGATCAAGGCCGCGGAGGGGCAGATACCAACCCCCACCCCTCCCGGAATATCCAGACTTAGGGTGCCAAGAAGTGTGTGTAGGAAAATGCCGAGCAGGAAATAGAACAAATACTTTCAGTGGCTGTATCCAGGACTTGGGAGACTACACTTGCTTCTCTATACTTTTCCAGTTTGGAGTCTTCTAAGTTTTAACGCTAGCGAATGGCATGTAAGTTAGCAGCACTCGCGTATGGGTGAAGTGAGTGTGGGGTCACAGTGAGACCACATCAGCAGTCTGCCCCCAGCACTCCTTCTGGGGCACAGTCCTGGTTAGGGTTCCCCTAGGCCTAGAAGAACTCTAGGAGATGATGTCAAAGTCCTACTTAGGAGGAAATCCATCCACTTCCAAGGGTATGCCCCCCACCAAGCCCCTAAACTGACCTGAAAGGCTGCCCTGGCTGTCACAGGCTGCTGAGGTGCTGGGAGCCCTGTGCTTCTCAAGGAGAATCACAACAGGCTGGCCCTATAGGACAGGACCTGGAGACAAGAGGAGGGGCGGCCCCTGGCACCTAGGCAAGGGACCTGCCTGGCCGGCTCGCCCAGTCCTGCTGTCCCAGGTCCCATAACCAGACCAACCGTTATTGTTGGCTAGGGGCTTGCAACCGCAGCCACTGTGCAGCTTTTGGGAGGGGCAAGTGGGTGCTAAGCCAAGTTCCACAGATTGGCAACTAAGCTCACCCATCACAGCTCTCCTTCCTCAAGACAGTACAACACACACATCCCAGCAGAGGGTACTTTGAGGAAACCATGGTGAGCGGCCCCCTGGAGTTAAGACCTCACTACCTTGCCTCAGTGCTCCAGACCACTCCCAAGGTTCTGGGAGGAAACGGGTATGTTCACAGTATAGACAAGGCACATGGACACATGTCCCTGCCAATGATGGTGTGACAACCAAGTTCTGAGCAAGACGCCCAGTGTGGGTCAGGGACTGAGCCTCCCTGTCCCCAAGCCTCGGTTCCAGAAGCTTCACCCTTCACAAGGATCCAGCCCTGAAGTCAGCCTTGATCCACACCCTTACTGTGTCACCATGTGGAGCAGAAGTGTGGGTGACACCTTTTGTAAACATTTTCCCCCTCGTGCTTGAGATGGAATCTGGGCCTGGTACATGCTGGAAAAATGCTCAACAACTGAGATACTCCAACCCAACATTTTAGTTCTTATTTATACCTTACGGTTCTCAGCCCTAAACATATCAGCTGGAGCTTGAAACGCTGCCCAAGAGACAGTCAGTAGGCCTCAGAGCAAACAGAGGAGCATACATGTGTCCTTGTCAGAGGGTGACCCTAAGGGAGGGTCCCCAGATGCCAGGGCTTAAAGCAACTCTGAGGCCCAACTGCTAGCTGTTGAGACACTGGTCATCTGAGAAATGGCTGTCCCCTGGCCTCATTCAGAGGCATGAATAACATGCTGAAATGAGCAAGGCAGAAGCTGAGCTGTGGCTTTTATTATATCTACTTTGGCAAAAATAAATAATTCTTCACAGACTCTGCAAGGAAACTGGAGAGGCTGGGAGAAGCAGCAGCAGCTGTGGAGTTCTCAGGACTGAGCCTGCACTGAAAAGGTGGAGGGCAGGAGGAGAGTAAGGCTCGGGGAAGGGAGGGCTTGGTGGGCTCCAGGGGAGGTTACTCCTCATCCCTCCCCACCAGGAGTAGCATCAGTGCAGCTGGCAAAAGGCTTTACATCCAAACCCCCTTTCCAGCTGGGCAGGGTCCTATGTCCCCATTCCATAGCATGTAAGGGGGAAAGCCAAGGGACAGCGACTTGGTCTGCCCCAGGGCTCCTCTTAAGTGAGGCAGAGCAGACTTGGAGCTTGGCTGGTAGCCGAGGAAACGGGGACTGATGGTTCTCAGCAAGGCGGGAGGCCAGGTGGATGCTGTGGGGTGGCGGGGTCTGTGGAGGCCGGGCTGGTGGGTGTGCGCATACGCAAGGCATCCGGAGGGAAGGCCACATTGGTGCAGAAGAGACCCAGCAGCAGCTGACGCTGGCATTCCTCCCACTTGGCCAGCGCGTCCCCCAGCGAGAGGTTGTTTCGTACCCAGCTGGGCAGTGCCTCACTGTAGGTGGCACAAGATAGTGGCACAGAGGGCAGAGACTGGGCTCGGCGCAGTTCCACCTGCTCAGACAGTCTGTATATGGGGAAGCATGGAGGAAAGGAAGGCTTAGTGGAGGCCCCAGGCTCCAGGCCCCAGGCCCCAGGTGGATTGGCAGCCGTGGTCGCTCACCTGGAGGGCAGATGATCACCCAGTTTCCTTTTGGCCCTCATCACCAGATACTGGCAGATGCTGCCTGTCTGCTCTTTCATCCACCGGATATCATCAGGAACATCAGGCAGCCACTCCAACAAGCTAAGGAGGGGGCACCAAGTATGACCTCAGAAATAACAGGTTGGGTTCTGATGTTCACCTGACAGATACTGAATATCCACCCTCCCCAGATCTCCCAAGCAGCTCATGGCTCATAGATGATCCTAGACTTCTGTTGATGCACTCTCCCCAGACTCCCCTTCCCACCCTCACCGGATGGTGAAGGACACTGCACTCTCCAGCGGCAGAGTATAGGGCACCATCATGGCAGTCGCCAGGCGCACTGGCAGCATGTTGGAGAGAGTGGTCATCAAGTCCTTAGGCTCCACACAGGCCTCCAGCAGAGCTGCAGGTGGGAAGGTGGTAGCCAATTAGGGAAGTGGAAGCCTCGCAGACCTGCTGGTCAAGCTTCTCCAAAGGACCCTGTCCCTTCCTCGGCCCTCCCTCTCCATGGCACACCCTCATTGAGTCTGGCGGGCAGGTGTTCTAGAATTCGATCTTTTCCATGGGGCTGCAATTGGTCCTCCTCTCCAGTCCTCTCCTCAGTCACAGCAGCTTCCTCTGCATCCTTTTCCTGGGGGACAACCGGGGGCAGCGCCAGCAAGGGGTTGGGCTGGTTCAGAAGGCCTGGGTTGGGGGTGGGGTGACAGAGATGCCATCAGAGTCTGTGGCCAGCAGGGGGCATTGCAGAGCCAGCTTCTCCCAACCCAGGGCTGCCCACACACCATTCCTCCTAAGGAATCGAAGTCCGTCTCTGTAGCCCTGCTTGCACATCTCTCGGAGAACCTACGAGAGGAACGTATAAATCAGCCCAGACCAGTGCGGTCAAGTCCTACTGTAACAGCTAAGTTCCTGTACCAGCCACTTCCACGGATAGGTTATCCACGGATAGGTGACTTCAAGTGCTGTAAACCTTGCAAAGCATACATGCAAAGTTCTGATGTTGTCCCAGCGCTCAGAAGTCACGAGCAGCTCTCTCCCCTGGTACTTAGTTAGGATTAGCTGTGCTGGCTCACCATGGGCTCTGGTGGGAAGAGAGCCTTTGAGAGGCGGTAGAGATTGCGCAGGTTGAACTGGATGCTGGTGTTGGTGACACGAAGCTCATGGATATTGGTGGAGCTATCCTGTGGGCAGATGTCACTCTCGCCTGAGAACGGGGACACTGTGATGGTATTCTTCAGCTCATAGAGTGGCAAGTTGTCTGAGATGCCGCCGTCCACATAGCGCTTTGCAAGAACACACATTCATAGTCACATGGTTAGGGGCCTGCGGGGTGTTCTGGTAGCTCTAGCTAGTAGCTGTTCCATTTGAGCCTTTTGCCCACTAGGCATTGGCCACTCACTGGGGCTCAACAAATGGCAGACAGATGGAATTCAGGTGGGCGCCAGCCACAGGAAGTGTGTATCTCTCCAGGGATTCCCCCCATCTTGAGTCATGGGAAGTGAGACATAGGCAGTGAGGGACAGGAGAGGAGCGAGGTGCCCCCTGGCCTTCTGATCTACCCCTTTATCTGACAGCCCAGACAGTAGATGATGCTTGCCATTCCAGGGCAGGGCTAAGCAGGGATACTTACCACTCCTTGGAGGGTGGGAGGAATGAGGCCACAGTATACTGGGATAAAAGTGCTGCAGACATTGGCCTGAAAAACAAGACACAGGACAGTAGCAGGGCCCTGCCTTGAGTTAATCCCATACCCCACCACAGTTTCTCCAGGGCCTACCTGGATGAGCTCATCCTTGGAGCTAAAGTGAGATATGATGACATTCTCCCCATCAGAAACACGAGTCAGGGAAATGCCTAGGCGTCCACTGGCACGCTCATGGCAATCAGCAGGCAGGGTCTTCAGTAGACAGCCACGGATGGTCTTCACCAGGTTGAAGGAAGGGTGTAGAGGGCCCAGGAACCGTTTCCGGGCCTCCTTGGACACCTCGATAATGTTGGCACCTGCTTCACCTGGGACAGCAGGGCCAGGATCAGGGACAACACTCCCAGATTAGTAACCATCCTTCCCCCAGGACTCCACACCCAGAAGACATTCAGATGTGTTACATTCTGTTGACCCTGAAGACGCATACTCACACTGGGGACTGGCTCACAGTTGGGACTTTGCCACCTAAGTGGAAGGAGACAGGCCACCACC